TATAAGAGACAGACCAGATACTGTTTAAAAACTGACAAGAGCGTCACTCTCTTTATGTGGCCATGTATGCATGAATAAGGTGGTATGTTGGGCGTCAGTAACCATAACTCATAAACTAATAGGCCTATCGACTCCCATCGTCGACAAAAATATTAATTTACCGATCCAAACAAATTCATTTTGATAGCCAATCCAATCGTGGATAGAAAGCACATGAGAGACCCTGATTTTTCCTCATGATCCCCATCCCCAGGGATTTTATTCTGGGACCCTGACCGAGGCTCTAGGCAGCCTCTTGTTTCAGACCCCAATCAGAATCGTTGTCGACATTTTTCAAATTTATATATTTTTTTTATACCTCTACAGGTGGCGTTTTACATATAAACAATACTGAATGAGTTGAAAGACTACGAAGGAGGCCTTACAATTAATAAAAAATGTGAGTACAGTATTGAACATTTTGCATCGTTAATTCAATAGTTAAATGGGAATTTTGTCACCATATTATTTTGACTAAGTTTGTTATGCATTGAAGGCACTGATAATTTCCTCGACAGAAGCATGCACTGACATGGCTGCATTTTGATTATATTCAACAACATACATTTCTAGTGACTCGCTAAAACTATCAAAGAACTGAAACTGGCTAAAGAAACATTATTTACAGCATATGGGGCTTGTTAACTTCCGTTTGTTGCTTGCATAGGCCTATTGTAGATTCGCGTCTGTTTGTTTTAATTGACATTACAGTATATGAAATTTATTATCAAAAATCTTTTCTTTATCTGGTGCATAACTTTTCATGATGGATAATCGAAATTTGTTATAGCCCGACAAAAAAGATTTTCTATATCGTTAAAGGACAATGAAATTGATCGAGTTAGGCCCAAATATTGATATTAATAGCTTTACTTATGTCGATATCAAATGTAGCTACCCCGATACCAATGACGGATCCAAGAATTCGAAATAGAGGGGATCTAGGGCGGGACTTTCACAAATGGATCTATGATTATGGCACCTCCACGACTTAAATATGAATACAAATTTTCTTCCTTTTTCCTGCATTTTTAAATAAATTTTCATAATTTAGAGGTGGGGGGGGGGGGAGGACAGTTACACACTCCCCTTGAATCCGAAAATACAGAGCAGTGGACCGTCTTATATAATAATAATAATAATAATAATAATAATAATAATAATAATAATAATAATAATAATAATAATAATAATAATAATAATAATTACAATAATAATAATAATAATTACAATAATAATAATTTTGAAAATTTATAAAGCGCCAGGTAATCATTTAGCACAAAATTCACATGGCGCCCTTCAAATAGAAAGTTGAAATATAAAAAAAAGACTCTGCATAAGGTGTTATGTTGGGCCCCAGTAGTATAATTGCTGTAAATAGCTACAATTTTTTTTTTATTCTAAACTTATATCGACCCCCATCGTCGACAAAAAAACATTAATTGACCTATCCAAACAAATTCATTTTTATAGCAAATCCAATCGTGGACAGAAAGCACATGAGCGACCCTGAACCGTACAATTTCTCCTCATGAGCCGCACCCCAGGGATTTTATTCAGGGACCCTGACCGAGGCTCTAGGCAGCCCCTTGTTTCAGACCCCGATCAGAATCGTTGTCGAAATTTTTCAATTTTTTTTCTGATTTACGGACATTTTACTACAACAATTTTTAAATTGACACTACCAGCCAATTTAAGTGTCTATGTACAGTATATATAAGAATATAGCACTGGTATTATTTACTGTCTGTTAATTGACAGGAAAACAATTTTGTCATTCAGATATTTAATTGTAAGTTAATAACTTACTCAAATATAATTATTCAATTAGGAATTAAATTGTTCATCTTTCAGCTTATTGACATAGCCTATACCTTTAAATTTTACCCCATTGGAAATGGGCTGGACTCCGGCCTAATGTGCGTTCCTGATGCTTATTAATCATTTCTTGATCACAATTTATTTTTTATCTTGCTTGGGCATGTTGAGCATCGAATAAATTCAACCAATCAGTCAATAAATATTATATCATGAAAAATATTTGTATGAAGATATAAAGATAATTGTAGTATTATGTTTATTGTTTGAATATACTGTATTTATGAATATATGTATTCATTTCTATCGAATGATACACTTTTATAGATTTAATTTACCCATGACAATCGAATGCTAACATAATTTGTTCACGCTATGGCGATCTACTAGGCCTACCCAATACCATGCATTTAATGATCCTCATTCATTCCTTGGTATGAAAGCACTGTCCATATATTACGATAATTGAATAAGATAATGTTCAGGATGGGGCGCTCACTATTTTTTTTATATTAGTTTTTTAATACTTCGTAATAATTCTTTATTTGTTTCTAAAATTTTTCTCAATATTTTTCTATTCCAGGAGGTAGACGAAGAATCTACAAATATCAGGAAAGAATGTCCGGACTCGTGAAAAGACAACAGAACTTACCACAAATTATTTTGATAGCCAAAAATGTTGTCACTCACCAAGCTTCTTGGAAAAATTCTGGATATGAAATTAATTAAAATTTAATTTTTAAAATATTTTCTTCTGCAAACATCTCGGAAATAATGTTAACAATCACAATATGTAGGCCTATTAATTATTGTAGGCTTTGTGTTTATTAATATTGTGTTATTACTACTAATTTTTATCTTAATAACAGAGAAAATAGCCTATTTTTTGTAAAGATTATAGACATGTAAGATAATAATATATATAATTTTGAGGATTAAAATCAGGTATATTGATTTTTTGCCGAATGTACATGTAATAGATGCAGTATATATTAAAATCAATAAATAAATATCATATGGAATTATGCATTTCTTCTCATCTTATTCAATGTCTGTGTTTAAATAATAAATTCGATAGCTAAAATATCCTTATGCGTAAACCAGACGTGTAGAATTGCTTCATCAATTAGCTACTTTGTCCATTTGTCTACTTAAACTAGCAATGAAATCTTTTTGAGGACGCCCCCAACAAAAAAAGCATAAAACAGGAAATGACGTGATTGCTAAGCAACAAGCTCATGCATAATCATGAATATTCAGTAACACCTGTTCTAATTAGACTAACAATAAAATCTTTTTGGTCGATTTTGTCAAAACTGAGCTAAAAGTTTTTATTGTTAGTCTAATTAGAACAGGTGTTACTGAATATTCATGATTATGCATGAGCTTGTTGCTTAGCAACCACGTCATTTCCGGTTGTCAAATTTGACATCATTTCGAGGGCGCCATCAACAAAAAACATAAAACCGGAAATGACGTGGTTGCTAAGCAACAGGCTCATGCATAATCATGAATATTCAGTAACACCTGTTCTAATTAGACTAACAATAAAATCTTTTTGGTCGATTTTGTCAAAACTGAGCTAAAAGTTTTTATTGTTAGTCTAATTAGCACAGGTGTTACTGAATATGCATAAGCTGTAGCCTAGCAACCGACGTCATTTCCTGTTTTGTAAAATTTGACGGCATCTTGCTCTGGAAATTTCGTAATTTGTTGGTATCAATTAAATATATTTGGAAATGGGTTTATAAGATATAGTAGCCTATAATAGTGGTATATTCCATTCGAACTGATTTATAATATACTTAATTCGATTATATACTGATTAACATCATGAAATATAATTATTACTACATGTAATTACGACAAAGGAAGTACACAAATATGATGTATTGTAAATAGTAACTTTTATTTCTTACATTCTCGCAAATGTTACATCAGAACGATATAAACGTAGTATAAATAAAACATAAAGATTGTAATTTATATATATATATATAATCGCCTATATAATATATTTATAATCGCCTAATGATATTTAAGTATGTAATATCGTTTGAGAATGACAAGCAATTTAATTTGGGAATTTAATTAAATTCCGATGATCCAATAGTATAAAACCTAATGTATTCGAGCGCGATTATTGCAGAAAACCACACAAATCTGGCTGTTGATAGTACATTGTGTTCAGCAATTGAATAGACATCGTGTTCCGCTGACAATGATTGTACATTGACCTCGCACTTCCTGAGGATCGGTAAATTTGACTAAAACACTGAAATAAAAGAGATAGAACTAGTGAGAAATACATTCAAATGGCATCTGTGTTAAGTAGGCCTATAAGGCCTAAGTATTTATTATTTTACAAATACATAAATATTTATTTATTTAATTTTTTATTTATTTTTTATTTAATTTTGTTTCTATTTATTTTTTTAATTTGTTATACTTGGATGTCTTACATTGGAATATTCTGTATACATATTTTTTTTTATAAAATTAAGAAATAAATATTTTAACTGCTATTTTAAAATTATTATTATGGTTATTTAGTTAAGTTTTTTTAAATTTATTTTTTAATTTGTTTTCATTTTTTTTACTTTTTAATAATATTATTTTTAATTTTATTTATTTATTTATTTTTTAAATTTTATTTATTTATTATTCTTTTTAACTTTGCTGTCTACTCTGGAATTTTATTTTGTAAATTAAATTAAGAATATAATTAAATTGATGATATTTAAACGGCTATATTTTTAATTAGGTTAACTCTGATGTAACATATCTTTGTACATATGTTTAAAATTTGTCTGTACTCTGGGGTTTTTTTTATGTCTTTCTGTCTTCTGATGTCTTTCTTGATTGTGTGTTGTGTCTTTTTTTTTGTATATCCAAGAGAATCAAATTTTAATTCTACCTGTTGTATTATTGACAATAAAATTACTTTAAACTGTGAACTTGAATTTTGAAGTATAATCCTCATTAGATTAAAAACACCGCTCCACACAGTAGCACCCCCAACTCGAAAAAGGTCCATATTTTTAGGACAGTCGAAAATGTACTGAATACAATTTTTTAAAATTTTTTTGTAATAAAACTTAAAACGCGAATATTAAATCTTACATTTTAACCAGTACTCATATACATACATGCATACATACATAAACACACACACACACACAAACACACACACACACACACACCCACATGTATATCTGTCTCTTATACACATCTAGATGTGTATAAGAGACAGATCCAGGCCTCTCGGAGAAGGAGAT